GGCACAATGTCTGTACTGCAATCCATTGTTAGGGCCGTTGGTGAAGATAGCTTCCCCAAGAATTTTGGAATACTCGTGAGGCCCCACTCAGAATATGCTATACAAACTTGGAGACCGTGCACATTTCAATGTCAGAATAGTCAGAATAGTCTCAAAGGACTTTGGCAGAATTGTCTTCCAAAATGAGCCTTATATCTGAGGGCTTTACCTTAATTCTCAAAATTAACGTCGTAATTGTAGTATTATATGGTCCTCTTTTAACCATTGTTACCCCATACGGTTTCTCTGCACGCAACGATGAATTTTACGTAGTTAATAGTGTGCTCATAGGCTTATTCCGTCAACAAACTGAACTCAGATTTTATTCCTGTTTAAGACAAAGGAGTCTTGAATGGCCATCCCAACACATGTTATTTTTAGATTCTAAATCTTTCAGACTTGCTTACGTAAAATAAGTAATGCATTCGGGGCATGTGCAGTATCTTTTACCCGCAGAATAGTTTGTCGTCGCTACCTTTAGTGATCTGAGCAACCTTGAGCTTAAACAATATAAATTACGGCGGACGAATAGAATAGGCGCGTTACTGTCCGCGCGTTGTCCACCGAGAGTGCGTAAACGCATTGCATCGTAGGCTTTTCTTTTCGCTTGTTGCGGTGCCTTGTCATTTACCAGTATGAAGGAGGCTCTTGAAGATAAACGCGTCTTATCTATTCAAAGCCATGTTGTTTATGGTTATGTTGGAAACCGCAGCTCTGTTTTCCCTCTTCAGGTATAATGTTCGCGTATCTGATTACTTGCAATATTAGTTACTCAACTATGAGGTTGACAGTATAAATTCCGTACAGTTATCAAATCATACACGTAAGTTGACTATTATTTATGACGTTTGCAGAATATGATAAATGTACCGGCCAAATTTTGTCATCAGACGACTTGAAAACTATTTACGATTCGCTTAAGTCTAACGGCGTCAATAAGTACTCGGCCATTTTAACTGGTAAAATTGGTAACCTTTATGATAAACATCAGGTTACGTGGGTGATGTGAAATTTTTAAAGATGCTTGGCTCCATTATAAAGGATCTTAAAACCGCGAACCCTTTCGCAAAGTATTGTAGGTTCTTTTTTTACTGACATTTTTTTCAGATTGTGATCCTGTTTTAGGAGATAACGGCAAGATTGTGAGCATCATCTACTAGCTTTTTGTATTCATTACAATAAAGTATTTTTATTCACTTTTTACAATGTAACTAGCAGAGCGCGATCAAAGGTGCCTGATGTAAAAAAAAAACTTAATTGCGGCTTTACAGTAGAATGATTGTGTGTGTGAGGTTTTGAGAAGTAAGGATGTATATATTGGAGTCGCATTTTTTCGGCAAAAAGACGGATCACTGTGTATAAATGCGCATTGAAACGTAAAGGCTAGTGATTAGTATGCGGGAGTGCCCCTGCCTTGGCAGGGGGATTTGTCCAACCTGAAAGCTCCCATATGTCCGGTGGCTGCAAAGAAGGGGTTTACACGGATCCGTTCCCTACCCTCTATTGATGAAACATGAAACATAAAGGACTCCATTAAGTATAGGGGGCAAGTGACCACTCACATCGGTGTCATCAGCGCCTTATATTAGCCAGTCACAGGTCAGCGCTACTGTTACCATAAATGTGCCCACAGTATCCCAGATTACGGACTAACGTCTCATGACTATACTGATCAATAAAGACAATTCTTTAGATTTACCGAATTCTCTTTGGCATTGCCAACCGATGATGAATCACTTAATAGATAGAAATAAGCAACTTCCTTTCCAAAAACTAGAGCAACGCTGATGTTTGCTGAAGCGAAAATGACCCAATTACGCGATGAACACATACGGACCATGAAACACTATCATATTTGCAACAATTTATATTTCATGGTTAATTTGTTCCTAAACAGCGAGTATACTGATTGCGTGTCTTCGTATTTATTAATTGCTTGTCTCATTTATTTGTGAAAGCGTTTGTTCTCGAGCTTGCTTAAATATGCTAATTATGAATACTCTTATCCAGGAGGACAGATACTTTTATTTTGTGCCCTCGTTTGGGAAATGCAAGCCGATGTCATGAAGCGCTGCAGAACTACCTGTTAGCAGTTCATACCCTGACCACTTATTGTATCCTCTCCTTTTATTTCCTCTGCTGTTTGATTAACTACATTCAGGTACTTTTTATAACCCGTTTTTTTCAAATATTGCCCTTTTAGTATGTTCCTGAGGAATTAATTCCAATTTACAAGAACGTGATCATACAACTAGCTGATGTCCTGCTCCCGAACCAGTTCGAGGCTGAGTGCGTTCTCTTCCCTTATATTTTGCTGTCATCTTGAACTTCTTCACAATGAACTTTTCATGTGAAACCATTTATACTCTTTTATTATAAAACCGAAACCACTTAGATCTGTTTTAGATTAAACAACATCGTCCAACCATAGAATCCTTTTTTAGACGCAGTTAATTAGTTAATTTTCGTTTTCGGTACTGTATCAAATACATATGTTATTAGTGGCCATGCAACTGCCTACGAGGGCTCAGGTTGAATCCCCAGAGCACAACGGGACGAGTATGTCCTGTTACTTGATCGGTGAGTGTCACCCTATCGTAATTAATGTTTTCGATTAACACTTAAATAATTAGCTGTGTTTCGCAGATGATTCTACGTTCTACCAAGACGTGTCATACCTTCGGGATTGGCTGTGCTCCTGTGAATTTGTCCTTGAGGATTTTGCATATGGCATATAGATCCACGTTTCTCAAACCTCTACTATCGATTTAGATGCCATATACAATATCTTCATGGACAAATTCAAAGGAACACCACCGATCCTGAAGGGATGAAAAAACTTCACTTGACGTCTAGCGCAGATGTCATCCACCGTAGAATCATTTCTTAGAGACATTTAATTTTTTGTACACAGCTTATAGTCTAATTAGGAGCTGGTGGACCAGTCTCAAAAAGTTACGCACTAAAATATATATTTTCCCAGAGAATTTACGTCCCCCTGACGGCCGCATGACAACAACAGTCATTGGCCTGTATAGCTAACTTTACCCTTAAATACTGTGACAATTCGTGTGACTATTACCTTTGGCAATGGAAGCTTGTATAATTCCGAAACGTCAGGACGATAAACCTTTGGTTCCCGTGATCGCCTTACCTTCTCGATATATATATATATGTATATATATACCTATATATACCTTGGTCTCAAGATAGAGTATGTACCGTAACCTGATTGGTGGGTGCCACACTATCCTCCTACTCACCATAACAGCTGACGAAGACAACGGACCCGTGGCCTAATGTTAAGGTGTTAAGCTTGATGATCAAAAGGTCGTGGATTCGAATCTCAGGTGATCCAGACCTGTGATTCGGTATGACTGGTCAATAACGGCTAATAAGCCAGGAATTGCCATTCCGGTCTCCTTTGTCTTTGTCGGTTCCATGCTATATAAACTATTCTCTAGACATTAATACACACTCTCCAGTGCTTATAAAACAGCCCCGTCTTTATGTGAGAGTCAGGCCATTTTTGAATGTATCTCAAACAGTGCATTTTTTGATTTCATCTGACGGCTACTTTCGTAAGGAATTTTGCTTCGTTGGCACCAGTCGGTATGTAAATTGAGATAATTAATAGCGCATTAGGACTTTTATAACAGAGAATCAAAGTTCAGTTAAAAATGCAGATAGCACGTCCTGCGTGCATTTATCAGGTTTGTTTAAGGCTGTTCCTATTAGTAAGTTATTAAACTGAGTTACCGTGCCGTGCTAGATAGGAAACCGCAACTGTTTCCAATATATCACATCCCCTCTTGTAATTACCAAAACAAAGTATAAGTGTTATCTGACTCGGAGGGGAGGGGTAGGGATAGGAGAAAACATTCAAAGCAGCAATTTCCCGCGATCAGGAAAACATTCTTTTTATTTCATACTGATACTCACTTTCTACCATTGGAGGTATTATGACGTACTGCTGTTTGTTTAAGGATAGCCCCGCGTGCTTCTGATGGTCAATTCTCTGAGACCCTTTCTGAGACTGGGAATGTGGTGGTTTTGTCGCATGAACGGCCAGGAGTGTTTGAAAGTTGAGTGTAAACTGCAGAATTTGCAGTGAAATCGCGGGCATTATCCCGGTGAATTTGTGGAGACTTGTTTGTCTTTCACTGCGTGCCCTGCCCTTCTTTCTGCATCTTTCTTTTCCTTCTTCTGTAGACTTCTGACAGGCTGCAAAATTTCCGACGAGGCCTCGGCACTCGAGTGCATGGATATATTACACAGTTATGGCATCCCCACCATCATTTTCAGCAGCACTGAACTGCATACTGCTGATGACCGTGGCAAACTCCTGACTGGCTACGTCAGCCATCGTCCAGATCTAGCCGCCGAAAGACGATCGGAGAAGGTAGACGTGTCGGGTACGTTCGCCGTCTTCTTTTTACTATTTTTTAACCAACACTACTTCTGCGGAAGTTAGCCGATTTGAAATCACCCGTGTTGCCAAAACCGCGGACACTACCGAGTTGTCCCACAACTGGGTCAAACGAAATATTAACATCTGCCAAAAACACCTATAAATTAAGTTGACGTCGTGCTTACCTGAAGGAGCCTAGATTGGTTAATTAGACTGGGTGGGAAAATTTACCCAAATACGATCAACCTCATGGCTCTCAGTTGAGGTCTGCTAGTTCCAATGGTTAGAGCATTGTTTTTACTCAAGTTCGCCGTGGCGCTCGAATCCAACCACTGCTACCGAGCTTTCACAATGGAGAAAACCATTGTGATATCAGAAAATCGGACATGAATTAAACCTCTTCTGGTGAGGGTATTCCTGCGAAAACACCATTTTATCTCGTTCCTGTTTTTATACTTCTGTATGCTTCATGGGACGTGTGCCACAGTTGTAGGACCCTTTGGGTGCATTTTAGCTTCTGGATGAACTTGTGTTAAACGAAGGCAATACACACTTTTCAGCAATATCTTACAAAATAAAGCTGATGGAGGTCTGTACTGAAATAATACCTCGTGTCGGGAGAAACGCAACTCCTAGTTTTATTTGTCCTGAACTACTTTGGCGCCAGTGGCTCAAAGGTCACGGGATCGAGCCTCGGGTGTGGCACTACCTGGTGTTGAGTATGGCTGGCTGATGACGGCTAATGAGCCAAAAATGGCCATTCCAGTCTCCCTTGTCCATGCCGGCAATGAAGACAATCGGAGGCGGACGTACTGGCAGTGCCTGAAAAAGCTGAACAGCCCGTCTACACACCTGTACGACCATGTACAAAGCCATTTTCAGGGCAATAACAAGGTCTCTTACCCAGTGACCGCATTCAAGTCTTTGTGTCCATTATTTGGGGTATGGCCGGCTAGTTGGTTGGCTGACTGCCTGTTTGTTCATTCCTACTTGTTCATCTCTGGCTCTTCTACCGTCACAAGCGATGACCTCTACAGTGTGTGCACAGCACCGGTGACTTCCACATAAAGTAGCCTGTAGTGATGCTAGCCCACTCATCGTCTACTAAACATGCCTTCCCCCTCACCCACGTTACGCGGGAACCACAACAGACGCGTCTTCGTTGCGCTCCCACCCGCCCTCACGACGGCCAAGGTCTGCTACACCAATCTCCTTACAGTGGATCTGTCTTCCCTCCTCTCCATCCGTGTTTTTGATGATGGAGCAGCCCCTACCGACCATGCTGCTCCTCCTCGCCGCCGGGATTGAGGTCCACCCGGCGGGTCTCCTGATCCAACAAGGGCTACTAGCCAGCCAGCCAGCCAGCCAGCCCACGTTACTCCGATGGCAAGATCACGTCAGAACGAACGTGGGTGGACGTGGGCGTAGTGGCTGATTTTAGAAAAAGCGGGAGTCTTTATGATAAAAAATGTGTCATCTACGTAGCGGAACCATGTCTTTGGTTTGAGATTTTGTAAA